AAAATGGCTCTAAAAAAGTCCTGGAAAGGGCTAGAGGGCTGCAAAAGGAAGTAAAATGTATTGCCTAAGTACTAATATACTTACCCAGTGGAAGAAGAAGAATGTTACACTGTATACAATTTTAAATAAAAAGTATACAAACATAGCCAGGATTCAGCTGGAAGCATTTGCAACACTTACAACAATCAAGTAACACACATTCATATAAAATGTAAGTTACTTGGCCAGTCAATATAATGACAGGAACAACTCCCTAATTCCCACGGTATTAGAGAACTATCTACTGATAGGGTGAAAGACTTGAATTGTTCTTTCAGCCACATTTACTAATACTAAGTAAAGATTACTTAGTATTAGTAAATTATGCCCCTATACTGCAAGTAGGGGTATGTTTATTAAACAGTGAGCAGCCTAAAAAAAAAAAAAGTTGTCCCCCCCCTGTCCCTACCCACGAGCGGTGGGTGGGGGCCCTAAATTAGAATAAGGGGGGCCTAATGTCCTCCCCCTGGCCCCAACCCCTGAGCGGTGGATGGGGGCCCTAAATACCAATTAGGGGGGACATAATGTCCTCCCCCCGGCTTGGGAGGGGGGCCCCGGTTTTTAACAGTGAGCAGCCACAGAAGGACTATCAGGATAACTAAAAACAAGAATGATCGGTTTAAGGGATACAAGAGCAGGATGGGCAGACTCCTTAGAAACAAGAGCAGGGCTAGAGGGTAAGGAAAATAAAAACTGGCTTGTCAATAGATGCAGTTAGGCTGCCCCTTAGGTTTGCTGCTGCAATTCAATGTGGACAGGGGTCTTCTGGATCCAAGGGAAGAAAGTAATACAAAACTAGTGCCATGGTGCCTGGGTGAAGACAAAGATACTCAAGAACTTTAGGACTTCAGAGACACAGGGATACCTATTGACAGTGGCGTACACACGACCCATGGGGCCCCGGTGCGAAAATTGACACGTGCCCCCCCCTCTGCGCTTACTCTGCGTGGGCCAGAACACATGGTGGCGGGCACCTGGTCACAGGGCTGCGACCCCTGCGACCGTGGTATGTACGCCAGTGCATGCAGATACACACACACACTTAAAGGACCACTACAGACACCCAGATCACATCAGCTCAATGAAGTGGTCTGGTTGTCAGGTCCCTCTAGTTTTAACCCTGTAGCTGAAAACATAGCAGTTTCAGAGAAAACTGAGGGTTAATCCAGCCTCTAGTGGCTGTCTCACTGACAGCCGTTAGAGGCGCTTCCGCAATTCTCACTGTGAAAATCACAGTGAGAAGACGCTGGACGTCCATAGGAAAGCATTGAGTAATGCTTTCCTATGGACGGTTTGAATGCGCGTGCGGCTCTTGGCGCGCATGCGCATTCGGAGCTGAGAGGAGGATCGGGGCAGAGGGATCCCCAGCGCCAAGGAAGTCCGGCGCTGGAGAAAGGTAAGTGCTGAAGGGGTTTTAAACACACACTCACGCACAGACGCATACACACTAGCTAACAGACACACACATTTACTGACAGACACACTCAGCGACATACATACATATACACTCACTGACAGACAGACACACACACACTCACTAACAGATATCAAATAGACTCACTAACAGACACACACAAACTAACACACTCAGTAACAGACACACAGTAACACACTCACTGACACTCACTAGCAGACACACACTCAATAACAGACACACACAAACTAACACACACTAACACTAACACACACACACTAACACGAACACACACACACACACACACATTTCTTTAAAATTTAATCACCCAGCCTCCTTACCTTTGGGAGAGCTGAGGGGATTCCCTGGGGTCCAGTGGTGCTGCTGGGTGGCCGTTTATCAGGCAGGCTGGCTGTCTGTCTGTCCAGTGGGGCTGCCAGGGGGCCGGTCCTGCGGGTGAGCGAGGGAGCACTCTCCCTGGCTGAGCGCTTACTGATGCCGGAGCCGGAATATGATGTCATATTCCGGCTCTGGTATCAGTGCGTGAGGGAGCTGGGTAGAGAGCACTCAGCCAGGGTGAATGCTCCCTCGCACACCCACAGGACCAGCCGGTGACACCAGGGCTAGCCTCGGGGACCAGCTCCTTGGCCCCCCAGGAGAAGAGGCCGGCTACACTAGCGTACATACCGGGTCTCGACCCCTGCGACCCCGGTATGTACATCATGCCTATCGATATCTATGATTTCAATGACACATTATAGGAGCCAATGACCAAGACACTAGCCAGCATTTGACCAACAATACTTTGGCTTAATGTAGGACACGGTCTATAAGGAGTGCTAATTGGACACTTAGGACCAGTAGTCTACAAGATCAGATTTGCTCAGCTTGATTGCAACAGTTTACAGCAAATACATGGTTCTGGAAGGTATTTCAGCAGTCTGGAGCAAACCAGTCCAATTCAACGATGCGTTTACTTTCTCAGTAAGAGGAAAAATCTGACATATTTATTCTCCTAGATCACTTTAAACATAACCCCAATTTTTTGGATTCAAAAACTGGTAAATTATGGAATACGTTTTCTTAGTTATTATTTAACTGCCTTCCTGCTGATAAAATCCATTGATATTTTATATAATCGCATTAGCTAGATAATATTTCTGTTAGATAAGTTTTGTTAGAAAAGTTCTGTTAAGGAATTAAATTAATGGGCTATCTAGTTACCAGCAGCATGCTTTGTGGACCTGTGGTGACATCATAAGTGGTCCACCATCTTGATATGCTCCATAATACTCTCAATGTTACAACTCCCGATTTCATACCATCTTTACCATCTATGGCATAGTGTCTCCTTGATATTTCAGGATTTTCCACACACCCTTTCATCATTTATAATTATTTTGATATGGTTGGGATTCATGACATTGAGAGACTTTACACATCACTCAGTCTGATAGAGCTTCCTGGTCATGGCTTTTTGCCTGCATACTTTTCTATCCACTTTTATCCTAGTAGAATTGTATCATGTTTCTTATAGATAATCATATGTTTTATACCAAACTTCCTTCTTTTATTGTATTAGAATGCACATAAGTAGATGTTGACCCCACCTTCCTGATTAGCTCTGGGAAGGCTTCTTCAGAAATCCTTTTGTTGCAATGTTTGTTTGTTTGTTTTTTTTGTGTTTTTTTTTTTATAACTAGTATTCTTTTTCTCTGGCTGTTACTTGTGTTATCATGATCACTGGTTACTTTGTATTTGAAGTGGTTCTTAACACCTGGGATGTGTGCTAAAAGTTGACCCCCGTCATTTAGTGAGTCCTTACAAGTTGGAAGAGACACATTGTGTTCAGCTTAGTCAGCTTAGCCGTAATTTGTGAATGAGGTAAGGTTTTAGAAGCTCTGAAAAATTATTTTGAAAAAATTAAATGCACATTTCTATTTAAACTGCCTCACTAAAGTGCATGAAAAATTCATTTTTTTTTACCATAGACCTTAATGTTGTGCACCTAAAATATTGAATATGACTTTTTTCTGCCTTTTTTACTATGTAAATATTTGAATTGGGTCTGTGTCAAAAAAGGTTAAGGACTACTGTTTATAGAGACTAAATGGGAATGCAGTCTGGCCGAGATCGTATCTCAATATGTTAAATGTTATTCTGAATTAAATATTGTACAGCGTATAGTCCAATGTAGCTAATTTGCTGAAATCCTTCTATTCAGCTTATTTTGCAATGTGGCTAGTTTGGCCTAATTATTGAAATTCTGATTTTTTAATACACCACAATTCGACGTGTAAGGGGTTATTCACTAAACAATCAATTGTCATGAATTGCAAAACAAATTGAAAAATTTAGGCAAAAATAGCTGAATTGGAAAAATTCTCGCTTTGCCCTAAATTTAGATTTTTAATTTACCCCAATTTGCTGTTTATTATTATTATGATTATTTTATTATTTATATAGCGCCATCAGATTCCATAGCGCTCAACATTCTATCACAAAATAAATGTAACATGGTCCGGTGTATACTACTGTGTGTCAGGGTTTCCCAAATTCTTCAATCCTGCCATTTACGAAATCAGATAATATGCAGCCCGGTCTAAACCTACCACTCCGCAGTAAAACATCTCATTTGGCAGCCGTGCGTTGACCTTTAGTTTAATAAGTATCACTAATGTTTTTAATTTTAGACACAAAATAAATTTTACTTAATGGATTATTTCATCTACTATTTACAAAGGGATTTCAAAGCAATATTCAAGCTACAAAGCTGTAGTTTAATTTTAGTCTGTGATTATCATTGAAACGGAGCGTGAGCTCCCCCTACTGGTTGTTTTGGTGAAGTGCCCTATTACTGATAACATACAATTCCTTGGCATTTAATAGGCAATACTAGTGTAACAAATTATAGCTCTATAAACCATTTCCACAGAGTGACATAGAATTCTCCCAAACAGCTATCTATTTGCTTGGATTATGTTTCATTATGCTTGCAGCTTAAATGACTTGTTACGCAATATAAAAATGCCAATAGCAAGCAATAAATGTCAATCGCCCATAAAGAGCTACATATTGCATGTTGATAAAATAAAGTTTAGGGTACTCAATATAAATACACTGAGAGAATAGAATGTGTCAAGAATAGTTTAAAATACAGACAACGTCCTATTAATCAAAATGAAATATAAGAGCTGAACAACGTTCCTTTCATGAATGTAAGCTCAATAGAACAGTCGTCATCCCCCCCCCCAGGGCACCTTCTGTTCCTGTACGTACAACTTGTGTCACTGCAATTACAAGTTTGTTGTAAAAAACTGCAGAATATGTTGGGGCTTTATGAATAATAATAATAATGATTAAAAAAAAGTATAAGAGGCAGCCAAGCAGAACAGACTTGTGAAAATCAGCGATTTACCTCCCCACATTGCACTAACTAAGACCCAAAATAAGCCTTTAGAAGATGGGGAAAAAATCTGAACACCAGACAACCATAAAACTAGCAGGGGCCCGTGATGTCGGGAATCTTCTCCTCTGCCCTGCTAAGGCCTCAAAAATCTCAGCGCCAAAAGAAAATGGCGACACAACCTTGGCCTCCTTGGAAGCACTGTGGATGGGAGAGTAAAGAAGGTAGAGGAGGGCACTCAGGGCCTCACAACACAATCCCAAAAGCTTGAAGCCCAAAATGCAGAGCTCCAACACACCCAGTCCTCGCTTACCAATAGCCTGGAATCAATGGAGGATAGACACAGGAGCCGGAATGTCAAAATACGGGGCATCCCGGAGACCGTGATACCAGAAGACCTGACACAATATGCCAGGAGGCTTATTGCGACAATACTCACGCCACAACAGGAGAAACAAACCATGATCGATGGGGTATACCGCATCCCGAGAGCTACCAGAGCCCCTGCAGACTCCCCAAGAGATGTTATCCTACAGTTCCAAACGAGGTCGGCTCAACTCACTCTCATGGCAGCAGTGAGAGGAATATCCAATTACTCCTTCGACAATGCGACTGTCTTTTTACCAAGATCTGTCTAGACCTACCTTCATGTGGAGAAGCCTGTTCAGACCACTGACTACCGTGCTCCAGCGACGCTCAATCCTATACCGCTGGGCATTCCTCAGGAGCCTGGTCGTCACGCATTGGTGTTGCAATATCCCGCATAACTGACGCATCGGTAATAGACTCTGTGCCTACGGCACTAGGCCTGACACCACATTCTCCAGGGCTGCACCTTTTCTGTGGAACTCCCTTCTCTTCTCCGACTTTCACCCAGTCTCCACTCCTTCAAAAAATCCTTGAAAACACACTTCTTCAGGAAAGCATATAATTTATACTGTTAGCGGGTTTGCATTCCCTTCCCTTCCCCCCCCCCCTCCCCATGACTCCTCTCCTGCTACTGTCAGAAATAACCTAAGTTCTCAGTGAATACTTTTCTAGTAACCTATTTCATTACTCCTGTAGCGGTACCCCTAGTAGTAACAGGGTTTCACCACCACGTCTTTTTCCCAAGAGTAAGAGGTGCTGTATTGATCCCAGAGTCATCCGTGAGAGAAGCAGGAACAGCTCTTACAAGAGCAAGTGATTTGTGATATAGCGGTTCCCTACAATACAACTCCCGTTTCAATAGTCGAAGTTCTTTTGAAGGTAACGGTTCAGCGGTGTTCGTGCCGTCGCGTGTCCAATTTGAGTTCCATGAACTCAACGACAAAACACAGATGAACACGTTTAACTAAATAAGATGGCAACCGCCACGTGTTCGACTATATGAATGGCGGCCCTTTCGACTACTTTGACACTTCGACTGTATCCGAAGTGCCAATTTGTAAAAGGGGAATGGAATTCGTTTTAGGTGAACAAACAGACGAACCAGAGGATAGATTTCTAACCCAGAGACAGAAGATCTGTCACAACCCCCTACTTATACCTTTTGTGTCACTATACTCCACTCCCTCTAGCATGTAAGCTCATTGAGCAGGGCCCTCAACCCCTCTGTTCCTGTGCATCCATTTGTCTGGTTACAAATACGTGTCTGTTATTCGACCCATTGTACAGCGATATGTAATTTGCTAGCGCTGTATAAATAATATAATAATAATAATAATATAGTACTACAGAAAATGGCTTAAATTAAGCAATCCAAAGCCTCCCAAGGTAATTTCTTCAACCAAGATGTCTATATTCTTTCTTTTGTCTTCTCCACTCTCTTCTGTTGGATTCATGACAATGAACTTAATCTAATGGTAGGGCTACCAGAACCAAGAAAAAGTCCAGGAATATGTGTACCCCCCCCCCCCAAAAAAAAAAACAGAGACGCAGTCCAGATCCTTAAATGCCCCAAAAGTGTTATATGGACACCATCTGATAGTAAACTGGAATTAAGAAAAATGTAAACTGAAGCAAAAAGTTTACTCTGAACTTCTTAAAGAGCAATTATCTTAAAAATGTAACCTTTGGTATATTGTAGTGTTTTTTTTA